TGTCTGTACGTCTGTTGATGTGTATTTGTTTGTAAGTTTGTTGCGTGTCTGTCTGTACGTCAGTTGATGTGTATTTGTTTGTTAGTTTGTTACGTATCTGTCTGTACGTCTGTTGATTTGTATTTGTTTGTAAGTCTGTTAGGTATCTGTCTGTACGTTTGTTGATGTGTATTTGTTTGTTAGTCTGTTCCGAATCTCTCTGTAAGTCTGTTGATGTGTATTTGTTTGTAAGTCGGTTACGTATCTGTCTGTACGTCAGTTGATATGTATTTGTTTGTAAGTCTGTTACGTATCTGCCTGTACGTCTGTTGATGTGTATTTGTTTGTAAGTTTGTTACGTATCTGTCTGTACGTCTGTTGTTACGTATCTGTGTGTACGTCTGTTGATGTGTATTTGTTTGTAAGTCTGGTACGTATCTCTCTGTACGTCTGTTTATGTTACGTATCTGACTGTACGTCAGTTGCGGTGTATTTGTTTGTAAGTCTGTTACGTATATGTCTGTACGTCTGTTGATGTGTATTTGTTTGTTAGTTTGTTACGTATCTGTCTGTACGTCTGTTGTTACGTATCTGTCTGTACGTCTGTTGATGTGTATTTGTTTGTAAGTCGGTTACGTATCTGTCTGTACGTCAGTTGATATGTCTTTGTTTGTAAGTCTGTTACGTATCTGTCTTTACGTCTGTTGTTACGTATCTGTGTGTACGTCTGTTGATGTGTATTTGTTTGTTAGTTTGTTACGTATCTGTCTGTACGTCTGTTGTTACGTATCTGTCTGTACGTCTGTTGTTACGTATCTGTCTGTACGTCTGTTGTTACGTATCTGTCTGTACGTCTGTTGTTACGTATCTGTGTGTACGTCTGTTGATGTGTATTTGTTTGTAAGTCGGTTACGTATCTGTCTGTACGTCAGTTGATGTGTATTTGTTTGTTTGTTTGTTACGTATCTGTCTGTACGTCTGTTGATGTTTATTTGTTTGTAAGTCTGTTACGTATCTGTTTGTTAGTCTGTTACGTATTTGTCTGTACGTCTGTTGATGTGTATTTGTTTGTAAGTCTGTTACGTATCTCTCTGTACGTCTGTTTATGTTACGTATCTGACTGTACGTCAGTTGCTGTGTATTTGTTTGTAAGTCTGTTACGTATCTGCCTGTAAGTCTGTTGATGTTACGTATCTGATTGTACATCAGTAGTAGTATATGGTACACTTCTGTGAGGTCCTACTTTGACAGGGTATGGGATTAGCTTCTCCTAGGGTCCCTACTTTGGCCGTATGAGGTCCTACCTTGACAGGGTATGGGATTAGCTTCTCCTAGGGTACCTACTTTGGCCGTATGAGGTCCTACTTTGACGGGGTATGGGATTAGCTCCTCCTAGGGTACCTACTTTGACCGTATGAGGTCCTACTTTGACAGGGTATGGGATTAGCTCCTCCTAGGGTACCTACTTTGGCCGTGGATTTGGGTAGGGATTACGAAAGATGGCGGACATACCCTAGAATTGACCGGAAGATGTACTCAGAGAGGATGGCTTAACTGAACAGATGATACAGCTTATTTCTCTGAAACTAATTACCTGACACCAGACAAGTCCCTAGAAATCTTTGAATAAACATGTTGAAATATATATAGTTGAGAAAATCAGAATATAGACCAACACAAACATTCTTTCGTCAAATTTAAATTTTGTTTATTGATGGAAAATGAAAACAAAAATTGAACATATCTAGAGACAAAATCTGACAAAAATAAAAGCATTCATTGGAATTTCTATGTCGTAATGACAGGGCACATGTACGTAAAGTATTCCGTAATTGTGTATGTTTTACATGTATGATACATTATAATCAGAAATTTGAATTAAATGTATTTCTTAAAAAATGAAATTTACGTATCCAGAACAAATATTGAACAAATTGTGTATAGCGAAATGAATCATAATAAAAGCTTTAAGTATATCCGGAAACGGATTCTGACACCGGACCCACCCAAAACCGCGGGAAAACAGTTCCAGCCACCCCACCCCAAAACCGCGGAAAATATTTCCCGCCACCCCACCCCAAAACCGCAGGAAGTTGTATAAACCCACTCCCACCAGATCCGAAAATAGTATTATCGCCCCTCCGGCCCCTACCAAGACCGCGGGAAGTTGTATAAACCCACTAGATAAGCTTATAAATTGAAACATTTCACTAAACACGAGATCGAAAACCATCGCCAATTTTTACTTAAGACGAAAAAACAATAAACCTAGCACATCAAATACTATCAAAGACCATCAAATACAATAAAAATTATCAATCGTACCATTAGATCAAAACCCAAAATGTACGACAACATTCCAGGTGGCGATTTAAATGTTCGGGTAAGAGGATTATTAAATGCCCAGGTTATTTCTCTAGAACCCGTGAGGTCACCGGGTGCTCTCCCTGCCGTTTGAAAACCGCGCCAAATATAAAAGCGTGCTAAACTTTTCGCGAACTATTTGAAGACCCTAGTCAGAGATAAGAGGACTATCTAATGTCAAGTTTATTTCTACCTAGATATCAGAGGATTATCAAACGTCGCTAGTCATGGTCCAAACTTCAAGGTCGTTTGCGAATTCAGTCCCTCATGTATCACTCTCCCATACTTGCACACAAACCTATCTGTAAGAAACAATCATTTCAAAGTAATCACCTAAAAAACAACATCATTCTCCGATACTTACAAACCTATCCGTAAGAAACAACATCATTCTCCCATACTGACACACAAACCTATCTGTAAGAAACAACAACATCATTCTCCGATACTTACAAACCTATCCGTAAGAAACAATCATTTCAAAGTAACCACCTAAAAACAACAACATTCTCCCATACTTACAAACCTATCTGTTAGAAACAATCCTTTTAAAGAAACCACATACAAATACTCACAATCTCCCATACTTACACACAAACCTATCCGTAAGAAACAATCATACCAAATTAGACTAAATACGTTCTCCAAAAACATGGTATAAAATATAAAAATAAACACCAAGTATTTAATCTTAAAGTAAACAAAAATATTTTAAACAAACTAACAAAACTGTAGCAGAATACTAAAAATACCAAATCGGTCAAATCAAGTAACTCACACGCAGAAAACTTCCAGCCTATCCCATAGGGAACGGGCGGTCTGCGCACCCTCCTGGAGCGACGTCGTGGAGCACAATAATAATTGTACCTCTCAAAATGTTCACGTACATAAGGGAACACGTGTAGAGAGCACATGGCAATGTTTTCATTCATAAGTCCCCGAAGACATTATGATATATAGACATGATTCGCTCATAGTGCGCATGACGATGGTTACAGTCTCCTTAGACGTGCTCGAAATACTATTTAACTTTTTCTGTCGGATGATTGGATTGCCGAACATGCCCCGCCTTGTAGAAAGTTCGGACAGGCAATCTGTGGTAACTTCGGCCCACGTTGGAACAGAGACCTTCATTTTTTACCTAATTTTTACATCAAACACCAATACCAAAGTTATTGCAAGATTTTTATGTAATGAAGTACACTTCTTTTTTCACTGTTCCCTTAATGAATCTGCCAGAAAAGAATATTTCCAAAAATGCATTCCTAATCACAATGATGTTACCTTAGATATCAATTATTTGCCCTCAATATTATCCACAAACAACTCGCAGTTTTAAATGTTTAAATCAAATTTTCTACTTGAGGCTATGTTAATTTTGTTCATGTTAATGGTTATTAGAAAATACGCAACCACTTTGCGACTTTTCTACATGTACATGTCTATGTGTGTATTTCACTGTGTTCTACTATTTTGCCTTCAAACTCCTTTGCACAAATGTGCAAATAAATTTTTGAATTTGAATTTGAGTTTGTACCCATCATGTCAAGCGGGTCTAGTGTGTTACACGTATAACGCCAATAGGTAGCAATTAGGTTTACAGATGATTCGCAACTTAGATCTAGAAAGAAGTGAGCTCGTGAATTTCTTTCTACCCTCCCAATTCAGTGTCTTTCTCTCTTTTATTTTTCATTGTCATTTTTTCGTGTGAATGCCGTCCAGTCAACTGAACTACTATAAGATCCTCAAAGTTGTAAAATTTGCGCACGACAAAAAAAAATCAAAAAAATCAGGGGCCGGATTGTCCCGGTCTCCCCTGCAGTCGAATCAATAAAAAAACAGCAAGTTCGGTAAAAAGGAACTAGAAGTTTCTTAGTCCCAATTATATTGACGTTTTATCGACTTTTTTCGTATCGGTCTGTTAACGACATTAATCGACGACAGACCGATATGAAAAAAGTCGATAAAACGTCGGAATAATTCGGACTATAAGTTTCTGTACTGGAAAAGATAACTTAATAAGGTTTGATGATATATAACGGCTAAAAGAATGTGTATTTTGATCTATAATATGAGACAAGGCTCCATTTACAAGCTCTTCTTGTGCTTTTAAAAATAATAAATGTTTTTCGTAATATTGTTTCGAGAATTTCTGTCAGTTTCTTTCACGGTTGGCTTTGTTTTAGGTGACCTTTTGTTATTTTACCATATGGGCATGTGACTTCTCAATTCATTTTATCTGAATTATCAATCGTTAATACAAGTGAGGGGAGGAGAGGAAATATGATGAGCTCTTAGCTTGTTTTCTCCAATCCTCTTTATTCTATGTTTTGAAGTTTGTTTAATGTGCAAAAATTGGAAATGAAATAATGTTTAAACTAAGTGAAGAGTGAGGATAATAAATTAACGAAGCATGGTGCAGAATATTTTGATGTAACGGTTTTACAAGACTTTACGGTAGACTTTAATTTTTCCTATGTTGTAAATAATGGCCTGTAGATTTCCGAATAATATGACAATATTTCAGACCCGAATATTGTGGTAAGAAACGTGAGCAGAGTCAGGAACTGGAGACCTCCCCCGGTCCGCCCAGAAAGCTGATATTGGTACCACAAGAGTGGTCCCCCTTGTGGCGCTTTTCCGTTGTTTACCAGAAGTGACGTCAAGACAAGCACTGCTACTTCAGCCAAAGTAAATGCCTGTCAGTTTGTGGAAATACACGACCTGCAGTTCAACCTGTTGACATTTGTTTGTGCAAAATGGATAATGTGTTGATCTGGTTAAACGTGTGATATATATTGTGTGTTGATATGACGATTTTATAAATTCGAGCTGTCTGCTTGGGCAGGTACGACTGGCCGCGATGGACGGGCCATACACTCGAGTTTTGCTTATAAGCGCAAATGTTGGCTCCATTTTTGAAGATGTAAGTATAGTGCTTAGAAAGTCATTTTACTGATAAAACGTATTGTATTGTTATTTGCGCATTGATGCTAGTGTGGTTTTTACGTGGCGTTAGTTTTACCCCTCTACAGTTACTTTCTCTAAGTCGGGAATGCATGTCTGTTCGGCAATGTTTACAAATACAGCTGTGTGTCTCGCATACCCCGCTAGGCCAGTAGGCATAGTGTGGTAATGAAGAGCAGATCGTCTGTTTACTATCTATCGACTCCCCGTAAACAATTCATGCTGTAGACTTATCTTAATTGCAAAAGTATCTGCTAATGTGTAAAGTCGACAGACGCCCTGTTGTGTGGGTTGAGTGACCTGTGACATGCCTGCAGTGTTATAATAAAAGGTAATGCATCGTTGACCTGAATTTCATGTCTGTTGATGCATTAGCAACTCAAATATAACTCTATTTGCTGACCATTACGACATCATGGTCATATCCAAAAATGTAAAGGAATGCATGACAATTTATGCTGATGCCGTCGCTAAAGTGATGAAACCCTTCGAGAAATATTCATCTAGCTTGTATACGTACCTATGGAAGTAGTGTTTCAAAAATTAATTAGGAAAAGCTGTGCTTTGTTTGGATAAATATAACCTTAAAAATAAACAATGATATTTCAATATTTCAATTTATCATTGTGTGTATATATGTCTTGCAAGTTTGTAATCAAGTCGGATAGATTTAAGTCGGTTGGCTTTGCAGTTCCCCATACAGTTGACCATAAGTGTGGTGAAATGATGTCTAACATAAGGTGACAATTAACAATATTTTATGGTAAAATGTCACTTGGAACAATTCATATATATCTACATGTATTAACAGATATTGCTAAATATTTATAATATATCAAACATGGACAGAAGGGCTGTATGTGCATCTTCTTTGAGTGGTGGCAGTCACTATTTTGCACTGTCGAACACGCTGTCACTTGCATTGTTGCTAGGGCGGTTTGAAAGCACCATTATTAAAGCAAATGTGACAGTGTGAAATGAACAATGTGTTTCGACAAATCTGATTACAGGATTTTCACCAGAGGTATAATAAAATCAGTTATCTTCCCTTAAAGTTATCAAACACAGACATCAATGTAAATTTTTGTATAATCAATAACTATGAATATACCACCAGCCATAATTCTTCATGTGAAATAGAGTGAAACTGAAATAAGCACTAATGTCTAGTGATTTTCTGTGTTTTTACTAAATAAGCTGACATTAATGATGTGAAGTTGATGTCAGATTTCATTGCCATCAAGTACAAATGCTATAGGTACTGTTAACTATTATTGTGATCAATTTTTCTTTCATGGTTTTTACGACCAAATAGCTAAAGAAAGTCCATATCGCTGACTTTGTTTTTAACTGTCTAACTGTTTTTGTGTCGCCTACGACGGATGTCGGAAAGACACATAGGCGCTGCATTTCCGACGAAGGGTTCAACAATGTTAAGGTTTTGCGTTTAGCTCTGTTTCTGACAAAGCTACTCCAACAAAAGAAAAAGATGATGTCCATTTTTGGATACAAAGCATCTTTATCATTTGTATTCATACTTCCATAAGTCTAATAGTGTGTGGCATGGGGAGCTAGCATGTATGTTAATTGCAGTTTTTATATATCATCTAGCTTCGCATTACCAAGGATTATTAATTGCGCATCTCCAATCGAAACGTAAAACCCACCTGAAATAATTAATTGCACATACAGTTGTAGGTGTCATACGCCTGTAACTTGGACACACATTTGAAGCATTTGTAAACCGTACCTGTTTGAGACATCTTCACAGTGTGTTACTTTGATAAGTTTGGCATTGAAATCAGTTATTTAAACTTGCTTTCAATCCAAATCATACTTACGGTAGCTAAATACCTGTAAGATTTTGAGGTTGATTATAAAATCATTGCAGTTAATTAGTTCATGTACTTTTAAAACCTGGCATGTCGTCAAATGATCATATCTGTTAATAGGACGTAAAACACAAACAAACCAAACCAAAGTGGTCCTTTTTAGGTCACCTGAGCTTTAGCTCAAGTGACCTATTGCTATCCCTTTTCGTCCGTCGTCGTCCGTTAACATTTTACATTTCAAACTTAAAGTCAAGTTCTGCTGGGCCGATTGAACTGAAAGTTGGTAGGAATGATCGCCTAATGGTCCTGACAAAGTGTTGTTATTTTTCGGGTCGATCAGAAATCCAATATGGCCGCCACGGCCGCCATTTTGAAAACCTATTTCAAACTTAAAGTCAAGTTCTGCTGGGCCGATTGAACTGAAAGTTGGTAGGAATGATCGCCTCATGGTCCTGACAAAGTGTTGTTATTTTTCGGGTCGATCAGAAATCCAATATGGCCGCCACGGCCGCCATTTTGAAAAACTATTTCAAACTTAAAGTCAAGTTCTGCTGGGCAGATTGAACTGAAAGTTTGTAGGAATGATCGACTCATGGTCCTGACAAAGTGTTGTTATTTTTCGGGTCGATCAGAAATCCAATATGGCCGCCATGGCCGCCATTTTGAAAAACTATTTCAAACTTAAAGTCAAGTTCTGCTGGGCAGATTGAACTGAAAGTTTGTAGGAATGATCGACTCATGGTCCTGACAAAGTGTTGTTATTTTTCGGGTCGTTCAGAAATCCAATATGGCCGCCATGGCCGCCATTTTGAAAAACTATTTCAAACTTAAAGTCAAGTTCTGCTGGGCAGATTGAACTGAGAGTTTGTAGGAATGATCGACTCATGGTCCTGACAAAGTGTTGTTATTTTTCAGGTCAATCAGAAATCCAATATGGCCACCATGGCCGCCATTTTGAAAACCTATTTCAAACTTAAAGTCAAGTTCTGCTAGGCCGATTGAACTAAAACTTTGTAGGAATGATTGACTCATGGTCCTGACAAAGTGTTGTTATTTTTCGGGTCGATCAGAAATCCAATATGGCCGCCACGGCCGCCATTTTGAAAATAGCTATTTCAAACTTAAAGTCAAGTTCTGCTGGGCCGATTGAACTGAAAGTTGGTAGGAATGATCGACTCATGGTCCTGACAAAGTGTTGTTATTTTTCAGGTCAATCAGAAATCCAATATGGCCACCACAGCCGCTATTTTGTAAATACCTATTCTAAACTTAAAAACAATTTCTAATAGGCCGATCTTATTTAAAATCGGTCTAGGAATGATCAGCTCATGGTCCTGACAAAGTTAAGTTAACATTATACTTAACTATTTTTTACTCAAATTGGTACATATTTCAACAACAAAAATAAATACTGTAGGACTCAGGTGACCGTTAAGGCCCATGGGCCTCTTGTTTTTTATTATCATCTATATACTATTTTATGCCACCTACCGGTATCATGATCAATTCATTATCATGGGTTGTCATCACAATAAGAATACCCTAGAAAAAGTTGAGAATGACTTGAAAACAACTTGAAGTTTTTTCCTGCTCGCGCCAGGTGGCATCTTAAACCTGAAGTGATATCAACACAAAAGTGATCCAAGTAAGAATATAGTCTGTCTTAAATAAATCAATATAAAGTTACGAAAAAATATTGTGAGGATAATAACACCATTTCAAGCATAAATGTGCATATATATACATGGAAAAGCCAAAGAGGGTAGGATTGTTTTAAAAAATATTTTTTCTGCATATTTTTAACGTTCATTGCATTCCTCCGTGCAAATCTTCTATTTGTTTACATTTGTCACAGACCGAGGAATTGAGATCGTTGACGAGTGCGCTTAGAAGTCATTTAGAAAACATGGTGTTTAGTTGACTTATTTAAATGGAGAAATATATAAGGTAGTAGTATATAGATGATAGATAGGTTATCATACAGTATTTTCAGGGTTTGTGACATTAATATTCTGCAATCTCTCAAAGTTCAAAAATGTCAAAAATTATGTACATTCCTGACTGTATCAGCCAAAAAGGGTGTACCCACCATTGCAAGTGAGTTACAATAAGTTAATATGTGTATTTGATAAAGAGTGGAAACACATGTTTTTGTTCACAAAAGGAAATCTCCAGTACAGTAAAACCTTGCTAACCAAAACTCATTGGGTCTCGATCAATAGTTCAAGGTATACATATGGTATTTGACAAGGACAAGGTTAGTTTGACATCACAATGTATCTATTAGGAAGAATGGCACAACAGCTTGAGCTCCGAAAGAAAAAAAAGAAGTTTAATGAAGATGACATCTTTTTCAAAAAAGATAAAAATAAAATAAAGAAAATCTAATTTACTTGTCCACAACCTTTTGTTTAGGACTACATGTATGTCTTTCGTACTGTTTTGTTGATGTTAATTTTACAGAAAAAATAGAGTGGTCGGGGTGGTGCAGTGGATAATGCACTCACCTTTTAGATGGCCTTGGTTCGATTCCCCCGACCATGTGGGTTTTCTCCAGACACTCTGGTTTCCTCGAGCTCCCATATTAAAACCTTGTGTGTGCTAGCGTCCAGGCCAACACGAGTGATTAATATAAGTTGATATTACTCGTTTCACAATTGTTGTAAAACAAATAAAGTTTCATTTGATTTTTAATTTTACGGAATAACAAAAAGAAAGGGAACTGTTCTATATTTTTATATATACCACATTCTTACCAAATTTTGAAGACCTTAAAAATTAAAAATACTTTATGATAATAATTAAACACCCTGCAAAATCGGTCAACATTCAGTACAGCTATATATGGTCAGTCATGCATGATCGACACAAGGACATGTGTACTTATCCAGTGCCTGAGGTCATATTTTGACAAGTTCATGATTGACTGTTTAAAATGTTAACAGTTCAATTAACACCCACCACTTGTCAGGTCTGACCTGGATTGGGTGTAAATTAATTGTCAAAGAGAATATGGATATAAAACCTGTACATATGTGTAATGTGGCGGTTACGTGCAGTAAATACATAATACCTACTCCTACACACCAGCTATAATATCTTATTGTCTACTCTGGCTTCCTGTGTC